TTAATGATGAAGGGCTATAGCGATAGAAAAAGATCTTATAATGAAGTAGCCAACTTGTTTAGCAATACTTTCCCAAGATATTCTGCTATCCATAAGGCGACGGTACACAAAATTGTAAAGCGCTTTCAGGAAGCTGCACGAGTAAAAGATGGCTTTCGAGCAGGTAGATCAAAAAGTGTTATAATTTACACTACAACTTTAGATTTAATGGGTAAGTTTCGTTGAAGATCCACATACATCCATACGCAGAGCTGCACAAATACATGGTGTAGGTCATGCATCAGTCTTGCTTGTATTTCATATGATCGTAAATTTTCACAAGTTAAGGATTTAAAAAGAAATAAAGGATCTTTGTACCAAGAGACAAAATGATACTGGCCGAAAAATCTAAAGTATTTTGGAGATAAATCAAAGGTTTTATAAACTTCTTTTTAACGGGCTTTTAGTCGTTTTGTTTTTATAGACCCTTATACCAAATTAAAGATCGAACCAGTGTGGCTCACTTATAATATGAAATATATATATAATAGTAGCTTAATATGATATATAAGCTGTAAGTTTTGAAACTTTTTAATCTAGAGAAAGATTGTTGAATGATTACTTTTTAGTTTATGTTTTACCTTTAGTTTTTATTTAGAAAATTAATCATTTAAATAACAATGATATGGTAGATATTTAAAACCTCCATTCCTTTGGTATTTACCGACGCCTCTGATGAAATCAAAGACTTGCTTCGGCAATCTCGGTTATAATTATTATTTATGGCAAATTATAGGATTTAATAGTCGATCTCTATCGTTAAAAGACCTCTGGTCCAGATAAAACGTTAAACAGTTTGAGATCCGATCTGAATCGGTGATATACAAGACCCCCTGATGCGGTCACCAGCCATTTGAAAAAATCCACCGTGTATTAGAGATGGGTTGGTTCCGAATAAATCATCCAATCCGACAAATCCAACAAATATATTCTTATAATATACCTTGACCAATATAGAATTTTTCATATAATAATCATTTCATGCTTTCAAGAGTATGCAACAAACAACGTCGCCGAAACATTGACAATTTTTAAAATATCAACTACTTGAGAATACACTATATAGTCAACTGGATTTTTAAAATGAAAAAAATATTTACATTGTTTACAGAGTTAAAGTAGGAATTGTAAAAATTGATCCATTGTAAGGAATCGACTCATTATAAAGAACGATCTTGACCATTTCTACTTCATCTTTGAAAAGTTGTGTAGATTCATAAAAATTTGTAATTGGAAACTAATGGCGATGTTTTGAAATAAAGGTATATATAGTACTACTAATTAATACTTTGTTGGTATTTTCATGAATGTAGTAAAGTAATTAAAGAATGGTGTAGTACAGTAATAATAATTGCAATGAAGTAGGATTGTTGTTTATAAATTATAGTTCTTTTTCTTTTTGTCAACCATTTTCCATCCACTCCTGAATGTAAGTCTCTCCCAATTGCTTAAATCTTTCTCTATATTGCGCCAGTCTAATCCACTCTTTGCCTGCCACTGCTCTTATGTCATCTACCCATCTTTTTTGAGGTCTTCCCATGCTTCTTGCTGTCGTCTTGGTTTCCCTTCTATAATTCTTCGTGTCCACCTGTTGTCATTTTATTGGGCTACGTCACCTGCCCAGCACCATTTCATATTTGTAATTTCTTTCACAATATCCCTAATCTTCGTTCTACGTCTTATCTCGGTGTTTCTAATCTTTTCTCTCAGTGATATTCCAAACATGATTCGTTCCATTGCTCTTTGAGGTGTTACTAATGTTTTAGCAGCTTTTTTGAGTAAGAGCTACTGTCTCCAAGCCGTAGGTACAAACTGGTATGCATGTGTTATACACCTTTTTCTTTAAGTTTACAGGAATCTAGGTGTTTTTCAAGATATATGCTAGTTTACCGAAAGCACCCCATGCCAGCTGTGTTCGTCTTTTAATTTCGGCAACTTGATTTGGTTTTCCTAGTTTGATAACATGACCTAGATATACATAATGTTCAACATTTTCTATGGTATGATATTGTATTGTTATATTTGTCTGCTCTCGGCCCATAATTCGATGGAATGGAATGTTTTATGGAAATCCACGAACGCCATATGAATTTGAACAGTATACTCGGTGCATTTTTCTATCAATGTTCTTACGGTGTGCAAGTGGTCTATGGTACTAAAATGTTATCTGAATCCAGCCTGCTCGATAGGCTGACAGAAATCGAGCTTATGTGTTAGGCGGTTGGTTATGATTTTAGTTAGTAATTTATACAGATGTGATAGCAAGGATGTTGGTCGGTAATTCTCGATGTTTGCTTTGTCTCCTTTCTTGAATAGTAAAATGACTTCGGAGTTATACCATTCTTGAGGAATCTTTCCTTTATCAATTAATTTATATTACTTTATTAAATAAAATATTTAATACCTGTTCCATTTTTCTGTCACCAATTTTCAATATTTCAACATCTTATCCTCTCCCGGACATTTATTCATTTTTAGTTGATTTAGGGCCATTCTTTTTCATACTCGGTTATGTCCGGTATTGCTTCTGAGCCGGTGTTAATTATTGTTCGTTCAGTACGTCATTGTTGTGGTTATGTATTTACCGAGTATATTTCAGTATAATTATAGTTCAACAAATTAAAAAGTTTTATTATGGATTTCATAGGTAGAGTGAAGTAAGCCAGCCAAAATTTAAATATGAAAAAAGAGTAAATTTGAAAAACAACACTTATCCAAAAATTTTAATTTTGGCAAATCAAGAAAAGCTGCTCAGTTTCAATTTATTTCAAATCTTACTTTTACTAAGATATTCATTGGAAGGAATGTGGATATCAAAATAATTGTACAAGTTGATTTCATTTTTTTTTTAATATTTCAAACAAAAATCGGTAGAAACTTAGCAAAATATATTGGAAAATGAACATATATAATATCCTCGTATAAATAACAAAAAATTATATGATGTTTATTCGCCGCCACTGCTATTATTATCGATAAATAGTTCTATGACTGGAGTATGGTACTTGGTTTCCTTATATTCTGGTTCTAGAATAATCCAAAATTGGAACCTAATTATATGTAATTCAAAACATGTTTATGTATACTTTTTTTCAGTAAAATGCCTACAAAACGACTACCACATAAAACTGGAATCCAGAAGATACGAAAAATGCTATTGATGTTGTTAAAAGTGGACATATGGGATACTTAAAGTGGGCCGAAAACCAGTTTTATCAGCAGAAATTGAAGACGACTTGGTACAGCACTGTTTGGAAATGGACAGAAGATATTATAGTCTAGTACTTGCAGACGTTTGGAGATTAGCATACCAGCTTTGTATCAGAAATAACCTTTTCCATCCCTTTCCAGAACGAGACGTTAATGCCGATAAAATGTGGCTCGGAAATTTCCTCAGACACCATCCGCATCTAGAATCCCAACAACAGAATAAAAGGTTGTACTTCAGAAAATATCAACCTTTTTTTTGATATTCTAGAACCAACTACGGAGAAGATAAATTTCAACCCCCTAAGAGTGTATAATGTTGATGAAACAGGTATCACTACCGTATAATTCAAGATTGTTAGGGTCATCACCCTAAAAGGAAAAAAAAACAAGTAGGAGCCGTAACTGCTGCAGAAAAAGGGGCGCTAGTCACTGTAGTTACGTGCATGAATGCTACCGGAGAATTCGATTCTCTATAATTTGTATTCCCACGCAAAAATATGAAGGCTGAGCTATTAGACGGAGCTCCAGCTGGGTCAATTGCTGATTGTCACCCTTCAGAATGGATACAGGGCCACATCTTTACGCGATGGGTGCAACATTGTATCAATTATGTAAAACCTTCAAAAGACAATCTCGTGTTGCCCATACTTGATGGCCATTATAGTCATACACAAAATCTGGACGTTATAGACAGCGAGAACAAATTATATTTCTATTGTATGGATCCCTCCCATACCAATACAAAATTGGTTAAAGAATAATCTTGTGTTGCTCCCATACAGTCGTCGTAGACACACCGTATCAAGACTAGCAACTTCAACGTGGAGTCATATGTCGCCATGTTACCTAATCCAACGGTAACTTTAACATCTTAAATCATTATAAGAAATTTTGTAAACTAAATGCAATTAATTATTTGTTAACGATTTTTTACCCATATATTTAGTGGCTACATTCATGTACTTCTAGACACTGATGCTGGAATATGGATTCCGAAAACGTTTTATCTGTTTAACTTAGCCCGTTTGGGTTCTTAATATATACCTTTTACAAAGGATTTTTAATAAATTTTTTAATATATGATATACAGCCAACTACAGGAACGTAGATTCCTTGTGGATTTTTAAAAAATAATCCTTCTCGAAATGTAGGACCTTTTCAGATAAGTTCACCATTCTGCTACTAGAATCTGCTACTGTTGAGATATCAGCTAATGGGTTTCGTAAAGCAGGAATTTTTCCATTCAATCGTCATATCTTTTCAGCAGCAGATTTTATTTTAGAAAATCAAAGAGAAAGAACTCGGCCTCGACAACATACTTTTGATAAGACTTTGACATTGGAACCTTAGCTTAATTTAATTGTCTATTAAAAAAACCTTTTCCGAGACACCAAACGGGTAGCAGTGTGGAAATTAATCAGTTATTGAACATTGCAAACGTTTAAGACTTTTCACCTTTACCATCCTTCAGATCAATTCAACTGTCTATTGAATAGCATGTATGGGTAGCAGTGTAAAAATTAATTAGTTATCGAACGTTGTAAAAGTTCAAGACTTTTCGCCTTTATCATCCTGCAGTTCATCGTCACATACTTCAAATAGGGGACGTTAAACCGGTTCTGCGGCTTTAATTACAAGTACGCCCTACAAAAATGATTTAGAAGCTAGCATTAAAAAAAACAAAGAAAAGAATCGCTTAAAACAAGGAACAGTCGCCAAAATTTAAGGTTTTAAAAAAAACTAAAAAGAAGATGATGGTAAAAAGTAAAAAGATGAAAAAACTAAAAGAAGAAAGTGATTCTTCAGATTCCTCAAACGTTCCTTATGACGATGATTCAGATATGGATACCGATCAAGAAAGTGACGCAGAGTGTCTTTTCTGCACTGAACATTATTCAAAGGAGCAACATGGAGAAAAGTGGGTACAGTGGTATTCAAGTTGCTTCAGATGGTGACATGAAGAGTGTGCTGGTAGTAACAAGAAGAACACCTACGTGTGTGATTTTTGTATTTAAAAATAGGTTCCTTATTATGGATAGGGTATCCAATTTTAGGAACCCTTTTTTTATTTGGAAGAAGGGTTATTGAACAAATTCCCCTTCGTTGGCTCAGTGAAGATGTTCGTTCAGTTGTAATGGAAACACAAAATAATAGTAGCAGAGTTTATTGACGAGACGTACACTCTGGGTGTTGACCCGGGATTACTTTGAGTAGAGACTGTTGCAGTTGAGCGTTGAAGACTATCACGTTTGTTGAGCGAATATTGATTGAATGCTTCTCTAGGCAAGAGATTTTAGTTTTATATAAGTTTTAATTGGGTCAATATATTCGCGGACCTAATGACATGTGTATCTAAGTTGTGTGTAAATTGTTTAACTTTCGTCAGCACTTTCGACTGATGTCCAAATTTTATTGTTGATAATTGACCAAATCTAATGTAACCTAATTAACTACGTGTGTGTATTTAATAACAAATAAATTAATTCGGTCTACTGTGTGATAAAATTATACTGTCCAATTTCGGATATGAATTCTGAAGATTTGATATTGGACAGTTATTTTTTACTTTTACCTAATATTTATACTGTTTAATGATGAAATAAATATTGTAGTATCAATAACTTTTTATTGATTTTATAGCACATTTTAAGTATAAAAAAATTATTCTAAAATATTTTTTTTACCCGAAAAATTCAATTAAAACAAAGTATCCAATATTAGGCGCCTTTCCTTTACTATTATGCTGTAAAAACTAAAATATCAACGACAGAAATTTTTAATGCATAGCCCACTCCAGTTACGATTTTTATCGATGTCTATAAATAAATTTGAACAAAATTATAATTGTGTGGTTCATTTTATTCACGTATTCTTTTTTTGAATTTAAAGTAATACTTTTCAAAATTTCTTGTTGTTGTTTTCATTATGTATGTAACAAATTGTGCTATTTTCATTTAGTAAGATAGGTTAACACTACATATTAGAAGGAAATTAAGATATTTTAATTAGGAAATTATATCCAAATCTTATTTATCGGTCAAGTCCATCAATAAGTTAGTATGGCCACGTTTTCGACACATAAAAATTACCGTGAGAATTGAATCCTTCTTCTGACAAGTGATTTATATTATATTAGCCATACTCAGTCGCCCATTGTTATGCTGACCCATTTCGTAAATCACCCAGTCCGTACTCCATTCAATACGAAAGTATCATTTTTATCAGTCAACTGTCAATCTTCAAGTTCGAAGAAACCACTTTTTATGGAAGCTGTTAGACGTCTTCGATTCCTCCGCGTAATAATTTAATAACCGAAGAACGATACATGCTATTATTACCTTATTATTAGAGCTATTTACTAACTCAAGTGTATGCTTAATAGCAACCGATTCATGAACGACGAAGTTCATTAAGTCTCAGCAGGAACGGTTCTTGTCAGCTTGTCATTTAAAGACCGACAGGTGTTGGATCGGCGGTTATGAAAATTTTAAAAAGCTGAAAAATCCGGAGAGGGATACGTTCCTCGTATGGTACTTCGATGATGCAATTCTATTGTTCTTTAATGAACTGGCAACTATAATATTTTAAAATAGTGTGAGAATCTACGACGATATTGACGAGCGTTTAAAGCTATAGACGATTCGATGAGGTGGATACAGCAATTGTTCAAATATCTTCTTTCTTGAAGATGATCCTTTTGCGGAAATAACAGCTATAATTAAGATTTTAAACTGTTTTTATTGTAAATATGAATTATTATTATATTTGTATAAAAAATCAAGATAACATTTTAAAAATGGAGTGATTGTATTAGATAACTTTTTCATAATAAAAGAAGGTATAATTAAAAAATTAACAGAATACAAAAACTTTTGATCTTAAAAGCAAACTCTGACTAAAAGATGCAAAGAGATATTATTTGCTTTCAATATTTTATGATGGGCTTCAATTCTGTTCAATGGTTGGATTTTTAATTTTTAGGTTTTCTTCTCCTTCATTCGTTAAGATACTTCGTAACATACTAAGGCGAGCGTCATGGAAGTAGCGTCACGAAACACGAAATAGCGGTTCATCGTTCGCAGTCACAGTACATACAAACAGGCATAGGAGTACACACTTTTTCAATTTTATTAAAATACATAAAAAAACTGTACATCAAATATCTATCTATATATATATATATATATATATTATATATATATATATATATATATATATATATATATATATATATATATATATATAATATATATATATATATAGGTATATATATATATATATATATATATATATATATATAAAGTGCACTCGTAAGTGAATGGGATTTTTCGGTCAATTTGGAGATAAAAAAGACAAGAGTTGTGCTGCTTCATCTATTTAATGAAGACATTTCGCCCACTGTTTAATGAGAATCATCAGTTCATCTTTAAAAGATCTGTTGCGTTAAAATATTATTAATTTGAAGAAACATCAGAACAAGGCAAACATTAATCTAATAAATACCACAGTAAAAAAAAAACAGAATCACAGAACGCCGGAAGATTCCACAGATTGGGATTTATTCAGCGGTGAAATAAGTGTACTCTTTTAACTAAGTTTCAAGCTTTCGAAAATGTTCTAAGGGACTAAGAGTTTTGGATATGAATTGTCCATGAAAAAGTTGAACAGGATTCTCAGGTTCTTCTGGTGAAAAGAAGGGTCACTGATGGAAATGATTCTAGCCTTCATTTGTTTAAGTAGGTTGATTTGAACCGGGTGTCAAGAAAGGGACTGAGCATAGATCGTCCTCATGTTCGATTGTGAACTGTGGTAGAGGATCATACCTATTGAATACATTTAAAATTTCTGTGGATCCGTTGCTGGGGATAGCTAGGATTAAGTCATCCACATACTTTTTTACAAAAGGAATATGAAAGGACAATTCTGGGATAATCATATCTAATAGATGATCCATCAAAATAATATTATAAGATATTTTGTATTTTTTAGAAGCTCTTGATAAAAATTGTAATCACAATTGAAAGCTCGAGTAAAAAATAGTCAACAAATAGCCCCTTTTATTGACTCCAACCCATCAAAAACAGTGTTATATTTTTTCCAAACGAGTCACAAGTACTTCTTTTTTCTTACTCTTATATATATATATATATATATATAATATATATATATATATATATATATATATGTAATATAGTTTCCCGTGTGACATTCACTCTTTTCGGCGTTTTGGCTTTCAAGATGATATCCTAAGGTCAAGTGAGCGTATTAAAATAATCACCGTGAGTGTTCTTTGAAAAAGTGGTACGGTTATTGCTTCTTCTCATTATAAATTTCGTTATTAGTTAGCAAGCTATAATTTTTGCAATTTTGACGAGAACGTAATAACTATTCTTGTTGCCGTATATTAATTTAACAGCGCTGACTCGTGGTAATTTTCGTCATGTTAGAGGTCGGATATTCTATACCTTTTCTAGTTGTTTTCTTTCTTTAAACTGAATATTTCGTTTGCAGATTGATAATATAGATTACAAATTAAATAAAAAATTAAATTTTTATACAGCAGATATATCTACGAAGATAAGATTCAATATGTCAACCGAGACTGGAGAACCATCTACAGAAACAAAAATTGAATTAAAAGAAGAAACATCTCTTGACAGTTTGTCTGATCAGGATCAGAAAAAAATTGAGAAACTTTATACCATACTCTCAGAAAAGGATTCTATAGAATTGCACCTGAAATTCCATATCAGGTTATATTATGCTGATTTACTGATTCTTAAACAAACAAAACAGACTGTTAGAGTTGGTATTTGTCACACGGCTACTGTAATTGCAAATGCGTTTATGTATAGTGGTACAACATGTGATTAAGTTTTAAGAAATAACTTAGAGCAATAAATTGTGCCAAACTTGGAGCCACTGCCTTACTTGGAGTTATTCATAGAAGTCTTGAACAATAAGCACTAACACTAACGCAAAGTTACTTACCAAAAGAAGTTAGACTCAGCTCAGGTTATTTTGAAGGGAGTGGTCTTTAGGCTCTTAGTCTTATACATGCCAACTATGGTGCAAATATTATTGATTATGGAGGATGCACAGAATGAGATTATGAGACATGGAGGTTGTCTTGGTCTAGGTTTGGCTGCTATGGGCACACATAGACAAGATGTTTATGAACAACTCGAATTCAATTTATACCGAGATTTATACTGGTAAAGTAGCAGGTATTGCAATGGAAATAGTAATGTTGGGTTCAAGTAATTCTACCACGATTATGGATATGGTTGCTATGCACAAGATAGTCAAAATGAGCTTACCTCTGATAAAGATCCTATCATCAGAAGATGATTGGATGTATTCTTTGAGTATGGCATATTATGATACTGGAAACAACTAAATAATTAGAAAATTCCTTCATGTAGCTGTGTCAGATGTCAATGATGATGTTGAAAGTGCTGCAGTTACAGCATTCGGTTTTCTCTTATTCAGAACTCCTAAACAATGTCCTATTGTAGTATCTCTTCTAGCTGAGAAATACAATGCACATGTTTATTATGGAGCTGCTATGGCTCTTAGTATGTCATGTGTAGGAACTGGTCTACGTGTAGCTATAGCTCTTCTTGGACCTATGAGTATGTTCTATCCAGTAAACTTTGTAAGATGGGGTGCTCTTATTGCTTCAGCTATGATTTTGATTCAACAGAGTGATCAAACTTGTCTCAAAGTCACATTCTCTAGACAGACGTATGCTCAAGTCGTTTCCAACAAACATGAAGATGTAATGCCTAAGTTTAAAGCTATCTTAGCTCAAAGAATCATTAATGCAGGTAGAAGAAATGTAACTTTGTTATTACAGTCCAGAACTGGTCATGCAAATATGTTGGCAGCAGTTGGAACATTGGTTTTCACTTAGTATTGGTACTGGTTCGCTCTATCACATTGTTTAGCTTAAGCATTTACTTTAACATGTGTAGTTGGTCACAATGCACAAATTGAAGATGCCCAAACTAGATTTAAAATCTAATGCTAAACCTAGTTTAAATTCTTATCCGGCTCTAAGGACCAATACACAAATTCGAATATAATTATAAGGTCGAATTGTTTCTAAATTCCCTTTGTCCGATTATTCTCGATTGACGATAATAAAATAAAATGTTCATCGTAAAAGTCGTGGAGTAATAAATATTTCGATTGACAGCTACTGAATGATTACACTCTAGTTGTTGTTGTTGTAAAAATTTATAATAGACTGCATCCCAAACAAGTGCCAAAGCTATATTTATAATCTCACACAAATGTGATGATTCATCAAATAAGTGTATTGTCCCCTGCATAGAACAAAAACTAATCCATATGTTTAACAATTATACACGGTGAAACTATTTAAATTCAGGAAATTACGATTAATGTGATATTAAAAATTAATGGACAAATTTGTGATTGAACAAACGGTAATACGAATTATATTAGTTTTTAGAAGACGCTCAATCTTTGTGCGTCTAATTTAATAGATTTTTTATGGTTTGGTTTATTGACCAGTTCTCTCTCTTCAATCCTGACCCCCAGGGGCAGTGTAGTGGTCGACGTGATGTCGTGTATTGTCCGTCTCCAGAGATCTCTGTCTCTGGTCATTTCTTTTAATTCATGCATAGGTCTTTGGCATATTCCTGTAATTTGATATATCCATCTTGTTGGGGATCTTCCTCGTGATCTTCGGCCTTCTACCTGTCCTTGTATTATGAGTCTTTCCATGTTTTCTGTGTTTGCTCTCATAACATGGCCAAAATATTTTAATTGTTGAAGATGGACTTTACTAGAGAGTCGTTGGCTAACTTTTAGCTCTCTTAAAATTGAATTATTTGTTCTACGGTCGATCCAAGGAATTCGTAACATTCGTCTTCAACAAAACATTTCAGTGACGTCTATCTTTCTTCGTAGCTAACGACCAGTTAGCCAGTCAAAAATAATTTTCTTTTTATTTTGTCGGTTGACAAAAATGGAATCAAAACCGACCGACATAATTACGGAGCTTCAACGCTGGTTCAGTCTACAACAAAACTGTTAACAAAAATCCTAACATAGAAGTTAATTAACACCGTAGGCATATAAGAAGAATAACAAGGATTCAGGACCAATAGATCTATAACCTACGAGATCTTCATATTACAGCAATTAGTGAACTTTAACAAACCGATTTCCCTACGCGTTGTGAATCTCACAAAAAAGTTTCACACAGTCCAACTTAAAGACGTAATCATGTTCCCCAAGACCTCAAAAGAGGTGGTATAATAGCTGGATATTAACACCACAAGAGCTGGATTGATAGAATCATTAGGACCATGTCCTACAAGAAGAAAAAGAAAAAGACAATCCATTAAAAAGAAAGATTAATGAAAATACAGCTTAAAATATATTAGACATCTCAGAAACAAACTCTCTAAATATATATAAAGAATATTTTATAGTTTATTCGTCTTCCGGGTTTGGACCGTGTCATTTGTGAGTGACCCAAAAGTGGGTTCATCTCGACGTTTCGCTACAATTGTATGTAGCTTCTTCAGGAGAACAAAGAAAAAGAAATCAAAAGACAGGAAGATGGGTAGTTAGCAACGGTAACTCAGTTACTCAACGCAACCAGAGGCGAATACTAACTACCAAGATGGGCATTTGGTCGCAGTAACTCAACTACTTAACGCAGCCAGAGGTGAAAACCAAATGCCAGGACAGGGATTCACGTCGAACAGCTCAGAACACTAACGCGTCGAGAGGCGGGGAGTGAATGAGACGATTACTCCGCTACCGCTCTATTTATAGTCGCGGTGACCTGTCGTGTCGGGACGTATCGGCACACTCCGTGGCGCGAACGTCAAGAAGCGCGCGGTGGCCAATCATGTGGCTGCATCGTGGTGGCGGGACCGGACGGCGGCTCTAGACTGAGATTCCAGATGGAAGACAAGTAGTATCCTTCCTCTCGATTGATATTATGTGGATTGTTTCGGATCTCTAGAGATTCGCGGATTTTACTGGAATAAAAGAAGGGGCTCTTAGAAATAATATGGGGTTTTTCGAACAATATGGAATGACCGGCTTCTTGGCAGTGTTCTGCAACTGCAGAATGGGAGAAAAGACCTGATCGAATACATCTTTGATGCTCTTGAATCCGAGTTTTGACGGAACGACCAGTTTCGCCAATATACACATGTCCACCTGAACAAGGAATAGAATAGACAACACAGGAAGATAGGGGCGGTAATGGGTCCTTAGGAGAGGGTAGATATTGTGAGATTTTCTTGGGAGGTCGAAAAGTAGTCCTGATACCTTCTTTGCAAAGAATTTTGCCAATCCTATCAGTGACACTTCAAATATACGGAAGAAAAACCACAGGAGTATTACCCGAAGGTTCTGAATTTGTCGTCCTAGGGTGTAAAGGGGGATGTAGATGTCGGTGTGTAATATTTTGAATTGTGGACTTGGAGTAACCGTTGGCGACAAGGGTTTTTTGCAGATGGCCAAGTTCTTCTCTAAGGTTGTCGACGTTGTTGGGCTTGGAGGTGACTAACACATCGAGACAGGGAAGGGACCGATTATTTTCTACTTCCATTGTGAATTTTATACTCGGATGTTGTGAGTTAAGATGATCTAGGAAGGGAGAAAAAACCCATATTATTTCTAAGAGCCCCTTCTTTTATTCCAGGAAAATCCGCGAATCTCTAGAGATCCGAAAAAATCCACATAATATCAATCGAGAGGAAGGATACTACTTGTCTCCCATCTGGAATCTCAGTCTAGAGCCGCCGTCCGGTCCCGCTACCACGATGCAGCCACATGATTGGCCAGCGCGCGCTTCTTGACGTTCGCGCCACGGAGTGTGCCGATACGTCCCGACACGACAGGTCACCGCGACTATAAATAGAGCGGTAGCGGAGTAATCGTCGGATTCACCCCCCGCCTCTCGACGCGTTAGTGTTCTGAGCTGTTGGACGTGAATCCCTGTCCTGGCATTTGGTTTTCACCTCTGGCTGCGTTAAGTAGTTAAGTTACTGTGACCAAATGCCCATCTTGGTAGTTAGTATTCGCCTCTGGTTGCGTTGAGTAACTGAGTTGCCGTTGCTAACTACCCATCTTCCTGTCTTTTGATTTCTTTTTCTTTGTTCTCCTGAAGAAGCTACATACAATTGTAGCGAAACGTCGAGATGAACCCACTTTTGGGTCACTCACAAATGACACAGTCCAAACCCGGAAGACGAATAAACTATAACAACTCCTAAGTTCACATTAAATTAAAATCAGTATCTCCTATCAATAACATTACTTAAAGCAATACCTCTTATCTAGCTTAACAAAACTAAATTCAATTAAATATTAACTTTTTTCATAAGAAGTAAAAATGTCGTTTTCAGACAGATCATAAAACACAATCAAACAATTGAAATCTGTTAAAATTTTATAATATTATAAAGTTTTTTGTCTCTCCTGAAAAGTATAGGTGAAGTCACATAGGAGATATTGCCAGGTCACCGACGATATGGTGATATGTTTGAATTCATTACAACGAAATTTAATCCACCAATTATCCAAAAACTATTTTGTTTATTACTCTTAGATCTATAGATTGATAAAATGTTGAGCAGTAGGCGTAAAAACATTTAGAATTAATCTAATTTACAATTCAAAACATTATTATAAATTTCTAACACATGTATCGAGTAAACGCACCGATCTCTTATGCCTATCAGATTTTTCTGTCCACACATAATCGACTCGTACATCAACAACTTGTCTACTAGTTAAAAAGTCTGTAATAAAATATAATATCTTAATTATGGTAAAATTTAGGATTTTATCTGGTTTATCAACTAATAAAACGGTGTAATCAGATACTCTAATCTTTGGTGTGGCATGCCCATCAAGCTAATAACATTTCGGGACTCCACGGTTATTATACGGTACACGAGGACACTGACGACATCTTTTAACGGAGGATTTAAAAATATGGTAATAGAGATTAGTATGTTTGGACCGGGAAAATAGTGTGACCAATGGGATAAAGTTTCGAATTAAAATTAATTTCCATAAGATATGTGATATTATTAATAACTTCTTTATAGTGTTAAGTGTGCTTATTAAGAGCTATTTTTATTTCTTAACAAAGCTTAAGAATTTGATACCATAATGAAGTATACAAGGCCAAAATCACTAGCCTATGAACATAAGTACCTAATATAATGTAATTGTTGCATTTTACTTGTGACCAATTTAAAACAATCGGATATCTATGAATTCCAAGAACTTAAATAAAAACGTATGTTTTATATGTAGATTCTCGAAGCTATAGAAAATATCATTATTTGGAAAATGCCAATCCACTTCTGGAATACCAATGGGCTAACCCAACGAGGACTTATATAGAAGTAGACGAGAAGATAAAACAGGAATACAAACAGCCATTTCAAAGAAGATCAAGAATCAAGATTCCGAACTAATGCCAGCGATAAAGCTAGATGAGATTCGACAAGCATTAAGAAAAATGAAAAATAACAAAGCCCCAGGAGAGGATGGAATCGTAATAGAAGCTATCGTAAATGGAGGAGATATGCTATTAAATAAATTAAGGAAACTATTCAATCTATGTTTGCAGCAAAGAGAGGTGCCCAAAGAGTGGAACAATGCTACAACCATCCTTTTGCATAAAAAAGGAGATAGAACGGACCTAGAAAATTATAGACCTATTAGCCTGTTGAACCACATATACAAGTTCTTCACTAGGGTAGTGACATCAAGATTGGAGAAAAAATTAGATTTCTACCAACCGAGAGAGCAGGCAGGATTCCGCTCAAATTATGGTACCAATGATCACCTCCACACAGTAAAAACACTAATTGAAAAATCTATAGAATATAACAAACCTCTTGT